CCCCGGATGCAGAAGAAAAGTATTGAAAAATCCGGTATTCACCCAGAGATTCATTCCAAATATAGTTCCGCTGAGTAGCAAAAGAATGAAAAAAAGGCAGGGAGGAAAGGCAGACACGTTGTCTGGTCTATAATAACAAGTTTGCTACCCAACACGGGGAAAAAAAAAGGGCGGAGAAGTTCGAAAGTTAGAAGAGTATAGCGAAAATTACAAAAAGAAGACAACAAGCTGATGTAGCTAGAAACCGTCCTGAAATGTCATTGTTTAGGATGACATTTCAGGAAGTTCCTATATAGCCACCACATTACTGAAACATTTAGGGGCAACAGACTTGGACGAAAGGCTATGTGCATGATGCCGTATATATCGTGAAAGAATGACGGGTGGTGGTTGGTGGTGGTGGTGATGCTGTCACAGGCGGGGTTAGCATGGCCGGCTTGGCCGGCAATCGCACCGCCTGCGCCACTCTCTTCATGCAGTTCGTCTCACCATATATCGCTTAATTCTGTCTCTCGTATGAAACGTATAAGAGAATGAAAGAATGACGCACTCAGACGATGCGTGTGTTTTCTCCGCAGGGTGGAAGTTTCCACGCAGCGGCTGTGGTTGACCTATACGGCTTGAGTTTACGTCGTTGCGATGTTTAGAGGTTATTTATGCAAACATCAAACAAGCTGAACATGCACGCACGCAGGTATATATGCACGCGACAACAAAACGCGACATTGAGGATCCAGGCCAGTTATATAGCTGCATGACCTTCTAACAACAACGTGGTTTCCCGTAAGATGAAAGACGGCCCAATTATAGTAGACCTTTGTACTTTGCAGGGTATCGCTGGTATCCTTCCACTATATAGTTATATAGATACCATGTGATGTTCATTTTGATAAAACTTACGCCAGTGCTGTAATGTGAGTGACAACGTTGCGTCCTACCATACGCTACCCTGTGCCAATGTTGTCAACATGATACATGCTTGGCATGCCATAAATATCGCCACAAGTACTTCAACTACACAAAGCCGTTGATCAACCTCGTAACTATTGGCTCCAAGTAAACAAAAGAAAAAGAAGTTACGCTGGCATGCAGCCAATCATTGAGTACTTCGCAAGGCAGCGATTTCCACAACGCGTTGGATTTGTCGGAATTGTTTTTTTTTGTCTCTCAAACATTCTTCAATGTTGAATGAGCTGGATCTCTTCACTTTGATGACAGCCGATGATTTTAGCAGGAACGAAGGTTCTTTCGATATTGTAGTAACTCGTGACAAAATACACTGAGCCTATTTACATGCATCTGTATGTACCGCGTGGTTCTCACCACACTAAGCGTAAAACTATGCGATTACTGCTGCCAATATTTTGTCGAGCGTATACAAGCGCACAGGCAAGCACATTAAGAAACTGCATTTATGCACACCCCTTCTGCAGTCAGAACAGTATAGGAACAGCAGACAATTGGAACTTGGTCAAATTATTGCTTCAGGCGTTCGGTTCAATCTTTTTGTTCTGTTTTCTACCGATATATACATTCATGTATATGTATACTCCAGTTCTGAAAGTGTCTGAACAGATGTGTAGGTGCATTCATGTTGACGCGCTCCAATGTATATGGACATTAAAAAAAGCATAGCGAAAGCTTTATACGCTACGAAAAGCAACTTGCTTTAGTACTTGTCAGAACTGCTAAAGAAAGAATTTCGGGGTTTCGAGTGGAACATAGAAAAATAGACGTATGCAAGTGCAAGTCGGTGTTATAAAAAAGAAAGCTAAAGAAATGAAGCAATGCTTTACGCGTGCGAGAAACTCACACTGCCGTGTTTTGGTTGCCTACAGATAGCACGCTTCAAGTTCTTCGCACCTTTAGAAATCACGAAGGCGAGAAAAAAAAAAAGAGAAAAGATTGGGTGCCATACCACTCTCGGCTCTTGTGAATCGCAGACAAAAAAAAAAAAAAAAAAACGACGATGTTCTTCCGCGTTTTAGGCTTTACTGCGCTGCACCAATGTGCCGAGGCAAAGCGCGCAACCGGGACTCGAAATTTGATTGTCGCCTCTGGTGCTCTTTGACTGAGCGCCCTCTCGCGGGCGCTCGAGACGCTGGACGGTCTTGGCGGTTTGATTCGCCCGCGCCGTCTCTCAGAAAACTGAGAGGGCGCTGTATGTTGTCTCACTCACACTGTGTCTCTAACGGTGCGCCACTGAGTGAAGTGTTGGTGCGCTCTCGAGACATTATGGCTTTTTCCAGAGAAACTCGACTGGTATGACATAAAGCTTGTGGCGTGTACTTTTACGCGCCGCAAAAGCGACAACAGCGTCCCCTCGAGGCGAGTGCTTTCAGCCTCACACACAAACCCCGCGGCGAAAATTTGCGATCACTCTTCTCGAACAAAACGAGGCGCAGCAGACAAAAAATAAAAAGTGATGGCGACAGCTTTTAGAGGCACGCAGAGTTCCCGCACGCAAGACTGCCGGTGATTTGCTTTCACCGACTGCGAGCCCGCAGAATCGAACGGGTGGTCTGCGGGATGGCAAGGCACCTACGCGTCACCTCCTTCGTGGTTTCACATGCGTCGCAAAGCCACGCATGAGCGGCCGAGTGCATTGACTCTGCATGTGGCTGTGACGTCATGTAGTCGATAACGAGTACGGAGGAGTAAGAGGGCTTAGGGCCGAAATGGCGATACGTTTTGCAGATTGATGGTAGTCAGAAAAAAAAAATGCTCGTACATTTCCTACATTTTTTTATTATGCCTGTATGGCATTTTCAGAATATAACTTATAAAAAGAGAAACCTTAAGAAGTCAAGCATGAAATTGCAACTTTAATTCCTCACCGAGTACTGATGTCAATGTTGTGTAAACAGCATCTAACATTACGCAAAGTATTTCAGGCGAACAAATCGCGCTCCATATTGGCAGAACTTTTTCTATCATGAAAATCCTCACCGACCGAAATAATAAAACGGTCTGTCGTAAACACGAATGTCTATACAGGGCGCATACCAACGAGGAAACACTCTTACGCAATATAAAAAGGTTTATTAGAAATGCGGACTATCACATGTCAATTAACCCGACGCGTCAACTTTAGAAAAAGCTTCGTCTGCAGATTAGTCATATACCGCAACAAAGTATAAATAGTGCTAATTCTTAATTCAATATTTATATAAAGGATGAGTTTTCAGGCACTAACCAGGACAGAGGCGGCGTCATTGATTATATATATATATATATATATATATATATATATATATATATATATATATATATATATATATAAGGGAAAGAAGTGTATACCTAAGGGCTCGTTTTTCCGTGTTTTAACACAATATTAATGAGATCTAACAGACAGTAATGCCAAGGAATGTACAGGCGAAGTTATTAGAACCAATGGAATGTAAATAAGAAGAAAGAAAAGTGGATGAAAAAATAACCAACCGTGAGCAGGAATTGAACCTACGACCTTCGAATAACGCGTTCGATGCTCTAACCACTGAGCTACCACAACGGCCTTCCCTCCATCTCCTTTTTTGGGTTTATATGTGAATTTAGAAGTAGGAGTGACAGTCTATATATATATATATATATATATATATATATATATATATATATATATATATATATATATATATATATATATATATATTGACACTAAGTTGACACTCATTCGCGTGTCAACTTAGCGCTTGTTCATTCCGTCAACAGCGTCCTCAAACACTAAACACCGCCATACACATAAAGTTGTCTTCGTTTCAATAAACATCAGTTTGTGACCTCAGAAAGGTTCTTACGGCTGCTGCCGATCTTTGTGTGGGTGTACCCACGAATGTGCATAAATTACAGGGCTACGAAGCTACGTGATGAGCCCTGCATTTGTTTTGGGTTCGATTATGGGCAGTCCAACGGGCCTTCGAAGCGGCTGAAAGGCTATGTCTTTCGGTTCAAATGTGGGAGCGGCCCACGTCGGGCTAAAAAGCTAGCGCGACCTATTGGACCTTAATGAAGTTCTTTCATCCATCATCCATCCGTCCGGCTTCCAACGTTACACTACTTCTCTATACGTGGTCTTAGCCAAATAGGCCAGTCTGCGACACCCAGAATGTAGCGGGCAAAGTTCCAAGTAATAAAGATTAACGCTACCTAATACTAACAAGCCATTCAGCTCCCTGTATGTTTTGAAAACAAAAAAGAAGGAAACGCTATAACAAATGCTTTATTGGACGTACATACACGTTTAAGCTGGCTTATTTCGGTGGATTCCTCGCAAAAAATAAATTGGAAACCAGAAACATAATGGTTGCCCTTGGTTTGAAACGTCCTTTTGCCACTCCTTGAAAGACGAGTATTTTACAAGAAAGCCGAAACGTCATGTAAAGAGCTGCATATCGTCGTCTTTTCAGCAAAAGCGTATTAGATCCTTTTCACGTGAAGAGGGAGGGTCGTTTCGAATTAAACGCAGGATAAACCGGCGGGACATAATCAAAAAACGTGCGCATTTCTTATTCATTACCGAAAAACTCGGCCGGCGAGAGCAGCAACTCATTCAAAGCGACCCTCCTAAGCTGGCCTTTGTCGAGAGCTCCGCGCAGTTCCCTCCGTTAGCGAAGTGAATGCCAAAGTCGCCCTTCTCCTTTTCCGGCCCGCATCCCGCGCGCGTCGGCCTCCCTCGCCTCATCAGCTCCCGAAGCCAACATAATGGGGGGCAACACAAAATACGGTGATGGGAACCCGAGCATCCGCGGGGCCTCGGAGGGCGAACCCCAGCTGCGTGCGGGCCAGGACGCCCTCTCATTGGCCGCCCGAGTCGGGACGGGTCGACCAACGGGCGACTACGCGCCGGCACCATCGATCGGCCGAGAAGGCGTCGGGACCCCCTCCGGAACCAATCACGGTCTGTCATTCCGGTTTGGCTAAACCGAGCAATCTTGGCGCGAGCAGCCGAAAAATCGGACGGGGCGAGGATAACCGAGACGTGATCACGCGCCCGGCGCAGGACCATGTGCGCCAGCTCGGCCGACGCTTCCTCGTGCGCACAGCTGAGGGGACCAGCGGAGCCCGTCGGCAGCGCGATGCAAGTGTTCGGCACTACAGCGCACCCTCCGCCCTCGTTCGTCGAGTACCAGCGGCTGCAGCTGTTCGACTACAGCCAAGCCAGCCGGCTGCGCATCGTGCAGCCCGGTCTCCTGGGCGCCTATGCCGGTGCCTTCAGCCCGTACGCGCCACCTCCGGGAGCCGAGAGCCTGTTCGGCTTCCCGCCTTTCTTCCGGTTCGACCCGAGGTCTCGCTTCGTTCAGGAGGAGCCCAAGCCTCAGCACAGCTACATCGGGCTCATAGCGATGGCCATCCTCAGCTCGGCGGAGAAGAAGATGGTGCTGAGCGACATCTACCAGTACATACTGGACAACTACCCGTACTTCCGGAACCGGGGTCCCGGCTGGCGAAACTCGATCCGCCACAACCTGTCGCTCAACGACTGCTTCGTCAAGGCCGGCCGCAGCGCCAACGGCAAGGGCCACTACTGGGCCATCCACCCGGCCAACGTGGACGACTTCAAAAAGGGCGACTTCCGACGCCGCAAGGCTCAGCGTAAGGTGCGCAGGCACATGGGTCTCTCGGTGCCCGACGACGACGACAGCCCGACGCCGACGCCACCTCCCACGCTGCAGCAGCCTCCGGTCGAAGCGCAGCACACGCCGACCGCCACAATCTGGGGGGAGGACGGCACGGCCGCGGGCCTGACGCACAAGCTGTCTTTCAAGAGACGCCAGTTCGACGTGGAGAGTCTTCTGGCGCCGGACCCGTCGCCGCTTGAGTTGCGCTCGCAGCAGCAACAGCAGCCGCCGAAGCACAGCAGTCCGTGGCCCTTGACACCCGCTGGCTGTACACTGGAGTCCATCGGACTCCAGGGTGCGTGGCCAGGACAGCCGCAGTCTCTGCTAGCCATTCACCAGGAGCGCTTGTCCCTTTTCAGAGCGCAGCAGCAAGAACAAATGCTTCAACGCTGGTGTCCCCTTCAAGATGCACGCTCTTCACCCTCCATTTCGGACACTGAAGCTGACAAGCTGAGCGCTCCACCTTGACCTTAATAACCTCCCACGTGACTAAGAAGGCCGATACACTGTAGGCAAATACAAGCCTTGCCATGGAAGTGTGACCTCCGTTTATAACAGAGCAACGCGTCAACCTATAGCTCGAGAAGTTGCTCCAACGTTCATTTTTCTCTTTTGCCTCGTGTATGTGCCATGGTGCGTTTTAGGAACACTGCTAGTCATCCGTCTAGAAGAAGGTTCCAGTGAGGGCAAGAACGCTGCGCCTGACCTTGGCGTTGAGAGAGAAAACAACTGTACAGACTGGAGCAAGCTTCAGGTGGTTGAACCCGGCGATAGTGTCACATCACGTGTTACAAAGACAGAGGTGCTTCGAACTCGGACTTCATGTGTATATAGAGACTCGAATGAGAAGCCACTCCACGAAATCAAGCAATATGTAAGTGATTGTTTCAATAAACCACTGTTTGTTAACTCTTGTTGATTTATAGCTTGCACTCAAGATGAAAACATAACATAAATGAAATTTAAATAAATAGAAGACATACATATGTTTAGATTTGTGTGCTTTCAAACATGCGGTACAAAACTCTTTCTGAGAACTTTAATATATGCATATATAAAAATGTAAGTATTTTTATTAGCGCAATTTATTGAAACAGAGCTCATGTAATCTCTGAGCAACGGTTTCTGTAATTGCATAGAAGTTTTATGGTGAAACTACAACGAGAAAGCAAAATTGCCTGCAAGCTTCAATGATGGTTGCATTTAAAAATGCGTTAACGTTTCTTCACGTGAACTTCCTTCCATCTCAATGAACCTCATTTTAGCCGAATTCAAAGCACTCAATCATCTTTGCTAATAAATTGACCTAATATAAATAGCACAAGATGGCGATTGAATTACTTTGTCGCCGACAAATGCACTGAGGTTTTCATTTTCTGTTATCTCCAGTCTCAATGCCTGACAAGCGTTATGATTCATGAGTAAGAAACGCTCCGTAACACGCATGCCAAACAATTTATCGAACATCGGCTTTATTCAGTGTACTGAATGAATATAATAAAAATTAATATGGAACAAGTGCTTCGAAAAAGCATGGGGAAAGAGACGGTCACTTCGACCACGTATGTGTTGCTTTCGACATTTCGATCGCAGTTGCAGAAAATAAATGCCCTAGGCGTATTCGCGCAGTACCAATAAATGACTATAAATGAAATTATATATTTTGTATTTACATCTGGATTTAAGGCGAGTGCGATTACTTCAAATATAGTTATCTGATTTAGAACACTATGAAAGGTGTGTATGCATTTAATTAATTACTATAGCACGTAAATGGCGGTGAAGGACGCAATATACATCAAACAGCGCAGAGAAGCGAGTAGATGGTTACTGTCTAAACTGTGGGCGTGTATATGTGCCTGCATGCTTCAACTGCTCCGCTTCATGTCACGATCACACATGCTGTTTGCTATTCTGTTATGATAACCAGTTGTTATCATTTATTTTGCCTTCGCTTTAATTTATTCGAGCATTCCGGTATATTATATAGGAGACCATATTGTCTCCCGTGTCCTTTGTGAGTTGATATTTATTAATAGCACTGACAACACTCCAAGTACGCACAGACATGTGATATTACATCATCCCATATACCACCACAATTTTCCCCTATATGTTTGCTGCAAGCACGACAATTCACACTCGATCACAGAGTTTTTCACACATAGCCTGCAGGTTTGTGCAGGCGGGTGCGGTATAAAACACGTTGCATATATTTGCGTGATACGTGTGGAAACGTACATATGCATTTACTTCTTTTGTTAACTATTTTGTATGTGCAACAAATTTTTATTTGTGGTTGTAAAACTTCTTGTTTTTTTTTATTGCAAGATACTTAAGGATTATTGAACAGTCTTCGGGTGGTATAGAGCAAGACTGAGCCCGTCTTCCTGTCACATACACCCATGCCACAATGTGTAATGCAATGCATTGGGCGATTTTGGATATATGCACGTTCAGGAGGTGTTGGTGAATTCTTTGTTCAGGAGGTGTTGGTACCTCTTTACAGAAAATTCAACACAGAAGGGACAGATACGGAATTAGAAAAAAAATCATATAAAATCGCACCTAATAAAATCCATTAAAACTATTTTCCTAAACCACAAAAATAATCACATAAGCACGAAGTATGGTCCTGCGTACGTGGAATAGGTTCACACATAAGGCTACACATGGGTGGCAAACATTGTCAAACAATATAATACCACTTAAACTTTACACTATGTCCAGCCATATTTATTTGTAGTACGTTGACGAACAACACGACAAGATCGTGTCAAATTATATGCGTATTGTCACGAGAGAAACTCGAAGCGAACAACTGCTTACTCGGCCACAGCAGCCGCTATAGGTATACACTCTTTTCTTTTGGCACCAACACAGCGTGACAAAATATAATGAGCTTTCAATATACAAAATGCTGTTGACAATCATTTTGAAGGATATCGCTCGCTATCATTAATTTGTTTCATGCCCGTAATGCTCACCCTAAACTTAAGCACACTCAATAAACACGATAACTGTCAATTTATTATTGCTAAGTCCTATGCTCAAGCTCTAACACATATTTTTTTTGTTTTTGTCTGACATCTTACACCCAATATGGCTTAATATCCACAGCCCTGAAGAACTCAAAAGGTAGGCTGTCAGATTAGTGCATCTAAAATTTTTTGACGATTGACGCTCCAGTGAAACTATATTTAAATCTGCTTACATTTCGTTTTTTGAGCGGAGGAAAAATATTTACCGTTAGAGTTACACTCCAAGTTATTCAATAAAAAACAAACGCTCGATTTGTCAATGTATCAGGACGCATGACCAATACATGATGATGATGATAATGTAGAGATGAAGAGGATGGGTATACTAAATGACCACATTAGGTTCGTTATATATGATGACAAGTCATACCCGCTCAGATCACCGAACTGCTTATTTTGCCCCTACTTTGTAAAAACTATGTAGCCTATATTGAAGAGAGGCAATTGTTATTATTCCAAAATTATCAACCGATCTACTTAACATCGTAATGGTGTAAACTTTTGTTCTATTATAACTATGTCGTTCAACTGTTGGTTTTTCTTGATCCTAATTCACTTCGTAGTTCTGTATCTTATGACTATGTTTCAACTTTAAGTCATTCTGCTCTTTGCATGCGTGTGTGTGTGTGTGTGTGTGTGTGTGTGTGTGTGTGTGTGTGTGTGTGTGTGTGTGTGTGTGTGCGTGTGCGTGTGCGTGTGTGTGTGCGTGTGTGTGTGCGTGTGTGTGTTGTGTGTGTGTGAAATAGTCGCGTGTACCTTGCCCACCCTGCTGGAACTTCCTGATCGCAGTAGTTTATAAACAAAGAAAAATAAATGAATAGAAAAGCGCAGCTTGTATACACTAATCCGCACAATTGTCGCTGCAGAGCTGGTGGACGCTTGTCCTGTTAATTCCTCAGTACAGAATGCTTGGGCGGTCATTGAGCGCGATTCTGTTCGTGAGGAGGATATTTTTATATCTACGACACACACAAACCTCGACCTTAACAACTCTGCTGCAATGTTTGAAACTTTTTTTTACGCACAGTTGACGATAGGAATCGCTTGGAACTGTGACAATTGCGTTCGCTACACTGCACACTTATTGTGTCTCTGTGTTATATGCATAGTTTCCTTCCGTTTATTTTATTCATCCTGCATAAACCTAGCGTCCGCAGCATGTGACATTTCATGAGATGAGACTCTGAAAACCGACGCTCGCGCAAATTCATGGTCTCTAAACAGGCTGGCTTCTATGCGTCATCGTTAAATTAAACTTGGTGTTGCTTTCAATCGATACTTTCCTATCTCAATATATTTTTCGCAAATTTATATATATATATATATATATATATATATATATATATATATATATATATATATATATATATATATATATATATATATATATATATATATATATATATATATATATATATATATATATATATATATATATATATATATTTATATATATATATATATATATATATATGCAGATACACACAAACGGGTACGTCAGCTTAGTATATATACACGTGGCACAAGGTTAAAACCGGCAGGAACCAATAAGAGACAAAGAGAACACCTTCCCGTTTCTTCTTTCTTTCTTTTGGGTCTCCTCGGTTCTAACCTTTCGGCAAGTCTATCAAGTAACGTGGCCCAACATAGCCTACCTGTTTTAAACATATAGCACATGCTGTTGGTGCAAAGAAGTTCCCACATGCGCACTATATTCTGACTTGTCGGGGCGGTTCAGTGTTTATGGCACTCGACCACTGACCTGAAGGTCGAGAAATCGAGTCTCGAACGCAGCGGCCGCAAGTCGACATACGCAGAACGCTGCAGAGATAGGTGCACATTAAGAAACCCCAAGTGATCAAAATTTTTCAAGTTCTCCACGACACCAACTTTCTTAGTCATATCGAGGCTTCGAAACGTACCCCCCCCCCCATTTATCGTAATTATACACGCTATAAAACAATCACCTAAGAATACGAGGAAGAAACAGACGACGCCAATCACAAACAGTTTTTAACTATAACTGTCTCACTCAACTGTAACTTGTATGCTCGAAAATATAATTTAGGCATTGTAATTTATTTGAACCAAGAAAACAACGAGATAGGTATACATACAATTAGAAATCACAATTTGTGAAACATCGTCCCATATTTCTAGTTGATGCGCAAAAATAAGCATATACTCGTGTAAAACCACACTTCGCACCACTGTAGTGCTCGGGTACATAGCAATAGGCCGGTGAACTTTCGCAATAAAGCAAAAGTTGTCGGCTGCCTGAACATATCATACATTGGGTGTGTCCTAATTCGTTAGAACTAGCTGATCGTTCGAAGAGAGTGCTTCGCTTTACTGCCTATTTACACCAATCGATGACATCGTCTATATATGTATATCTTGTGAGTGACTATTGCTTTTTCTGCTCCC